ACAAAAGAGCCTATTTGCTGAAATCATATTTACGCCGCCTAAGCTGGAGCGTTATGGAATTACTTCGCCTAGTTTCAATATATACTCAGACAAAGCAAATTACAAAGCAAAATATTTATCTTGCAGTCCTTCAAAAAATAGTACGGGCTGAATTCATCCGGAACTTTCTTTCTTAAATCTTTTCGAGATAATGAAAAGCTTTTTAATATAGCATCGAAATAACTACAAAATGACAGTAAATGGATCTTGGGGTTGAGTTAAGTTTCTTACGGGTGCGAGTAGATAGAAAGCCATTTTTTCTCAAGAGATTTCAATATCTAATAAATGTAGTACATTGTCAAGTTTACTTACCGAATCTTATTCTAGTAAACCTTGGGATCTGAGAATCTATCTGATTAACTTTTTTGACTTGATTATTTTCTGGAGCTTAACCAAAATGAAAACAGCCTCGTAAGTTATAAATTCAAAGCAGGAATCCAACTCGCGGTATGGATATCTGAGAGAGAATAAGTTTGGTACAAACCATTCTTGTGTGAAACTAAGAAATCCAGCCAGTTTTCCCGCCGATTCCGACAGTATTTTCGCGCGCTTTCCAAAAACGCGTCTGTGATTTATGATAGTTGAAATCGAAAGGACTTGCGAAGTGCTTCGGGGGTTCTAAGCATCGGAAGTCTTATGTTAAAATGTACGTATGAAACAAAAAGAAAACAAGTCTGAAAAATAGTTGTTATCTGGGACTGATTTGGAGATGGTTTTTTTCCCTCCGTAAAAAATATTTATACAACATTCTAATTTTCCGATTCGATCTTTGATATAGCCGTGCCCGGACTTTATAGATCAGTCAAAACGTTGTTTATGCTAGGATGACGATAAAATTTGAAGGTTTGCAGGAAGTTCTCATTAAGGATTAAAAACTAGCTAGACCACTAACGTTTCTGGACATTTAATCCGTCGAAAAAGGGGCGCAATCCTATTCTGCAAAGCTTAGCTTCAGGTCAACGATTTTCAGAACCTCCAAAACCGCAATTTAGTCGAAATTCAGACTAATGACTGGCTCAATTTGCAGGCGGTTTCCATTGTTGTTTTATTTTTTGTGACCGTTCATTTTTTTACGGGGGGGGGGGGGGGGGGGGGGGGGGGTTCGGCGTTAAATTACTGTGTTAGGAACGAAGATTACTAGTCAAGGAATACGGCAAAAAAGGTCGCGTTTTAGAAAGTTCAGGGATTTGCTTCGGAGGAATCTATGTGTGTCTGAATCCGGCTGTAGGGTGTCCAAAGTCGTCGGGTCGATAGTCGATGGAGAATGAAGAGCTCTGTCGTGCCATCCCCCACGCCCCTCCCCCACAGGCTCTCAGTATGTAGACTGTTACTGTTGTTTTTCTCTTTTTTTTTTGAATTAATAATTAAGTACAAAAAGTTTGGAAGATCAGATAAAAAGAATACCATTTGCTTTTGTATATATGTTTTGAGTTATCACTCGCTAGGTTGGTTAGAAATATCTAAAGAGCATTTTCCTGCAAGCAGGGTCTTTCTACGCTCTCCGTTTTGCTCTCATTCCTGCTGAGTCGATACACGGAGGACAGCCAAAACAACCACTGCTTCAGGCGAAGAGTAAAGATACAAGCTATGAAAGAGAAATTTATTTTCAGGCTGCTCGCGACGGACGGAGGGAACTGAAACAAACTGTTACGACGCCAAAATGACGGCAGCGGATCACTAAATGGCAATTATTTAATTGATAAGAGAAAAAAAAGAGGCGAATAGATTTTAGATAACAGCTATGGCGATAAATGAACATGACTGATATTTTATAAGAATAGAAGAAAACTAAACCATAACTAGACTAAACCAAGTCTAAAATACATAAATAGAGTGATTTGGGTCTGAATTCCATTTTACTTTGAATCGTGTTGTTTTTGAAAAATAAAAACTTGATTATTTGGCGCGAGAATTGTGTTTAATTATTTGCTAAGTTTTGCAGCACTGTTTTTTAAATGATAGTTATTTTTTGGCTAGAATTCAGTAAACTTAAAACACTTACAGTTTTCTTGAAGAGTTCGATCGTTCTTGTCGAAAGAGTAGTTGTGAAGGTAAAAGTGCACAGCTGCAAATTTACCAAGTATATCTTCTTGACATAATTAGAAGGTACTTCCAATCTAGAATTCTCTTTCAAAACCGCGCACTTTTAAGATACAAAACCCGCGAATTAACCAAATCTGGCTTCCTGTGTTTAGTCTCTTGCCAAGTTTCTTTAAAAATTAATCCCTGATTAGAATTTTCGTGACAAGTGACATGTATTTCTGTCAAATCGAAAAAAAACTTAACAGAGGGTTCTGAAGGGGGAAAATGGGAGCTGGGATTCGCCTTTTGGGGCTGGGAAAATGAGATTTTATTCATTGGGAATGGAATCACAATAAAAAAAAAGAAAAAAAGAAAAAAAAAAAAAAAAAAAAAAAAAAAAAAAAAAAAAAAAAAAAAAATACGGAAATGGAGATTGACTGAGCAAGAAAAATCTGGGACTATGGGATTTGGTCAAAATGGGGACTAGGAAATGGAATTAGGATCCCCCGCTCCCCTCCTTCCCGACCTTCTTTACTAGTTGCTAGCAACATAGTTCACATCTTAGGTTTGGTATCAATCAAAATAATCACTAAAAATCGTGTTTAACTCTTCTTTCTTGGTCGAAAATTGAAAATACAGCAGGATAATACCATTCATTAAAGCAGCTTTCTTTTTTAGGATATCCGTTGCCAGTGTTAATGCGCTATTAACGTTTATTAGTGCCATTTTTCTCTTGGTATAACGCATGGTACGTGGAAGATAAATTGAACTGCGCTTAGTTTTAATACTTTTGAATTGGCCAGGGTCATGATTTAATTGCTCGGATTTAGAAGAATTATATTTTGTTGAAGTAATTGATGGAAGACGAGAAAGACAGCTGCCCCACGGCTAGATTTGCTGGGTCAATGATTTTCAAGAAAGAAATTGGAAAATAAATAAGCCAATGAAAATAGACCTTTTTTGCAAGACCTGCTCTCTCTCCATTTTAGACGGTAACCACGCCCTTTTTAAAAGACTTTTTATGAATTCTTTATGATATTCATGTCCGACAAGGATACCTGCTACTTTATCCCGGAGGCCCCCACCCCCTCCCTAACCGGGCATAACTGCATGCCAAGTTTATTATGAATTTGTGACGTTTTAAAGAGGGGCACCTGTTTTTTTATGACAAGTGAACTGTTTAGGGAATTGGCTAGAAAAGTGACGAATAGTTAAACAATCAGACTGGCCGTAGCCTGTGTATATCGGCTTCCCACCCCTCCCCCCGTAGGGAAGTAGAAAAGTACCAGGCGAGAGAAAAGTCAATATTTTAAATGTCACGCAATACCTGCCAAGAGCCATTAGCAAAAGTTTTTTTACTTTCCTTGGTAAGTAGCGCATTCGCGATCACAAACGAACCGCTGATATGAAAAAAACGTTCAATTTAACAGTTATTCCTTATGAAAAGTGTTAATATTTCCGGTAGTGAAATAAAAGAACTGATGGCATCATTTTATTAACGTCTTAATGGCTGGATTTTCTCTTCATCAAATTTTCTATTACAGGAAGAGCTCAGTTCAGGGGCAAATCACGGTGAACTTTGGTTGCCATTTAGTTCAAAGAGCTCCCGCAAGTTCGTCACAAATTAAGATCGTTCAATTTATATATAGACTTTTTTGGCTTTATTCTACGTTTCCCGTTATGAACGTCTAGACAAATAAAAAGGCGAGAAATATGTAAGAGTTAGTTTGCGCCCAGCGCCTTGCCTCGAAATTTTGATCTATAGGTAATGCTAAAATAACAGAAAATTTGGAATTACAAATCATAGATTTTCGACATTTTCCTTATTTCACAATTTTGTTTATAGAGTACGCGTTCTTCATGGTCAGCACCCCGCCCATGAGTCTCACCCGAAGGCTCATGCTGCACAATAGGGCACGGGGTCCTATTCGAAGTACATTGCACCAATTTCGATTCCAGCACTCCATTAAATCTCCAGCCCATCCTGCAAAAATCAGTCCATTAATTTTAGCAAAGGCCAGACAGTGAGGGTGGTTACTGCCAGGGTTTCTTCACGTCCTCAGTGGTTCTTTACGTCCTCCCTCTAATGCAGAGTGAGGTAATGTGGAGAGGTTGGGCAGCCATACAATTTTATGTGGTCATCTGAGCCACTTGAAAGTCTAATCATTCGTAGATGTTATGAACTAATTCAATCTCGTACCCAGAGCCTGCGTTTCTTCTGGCCTGCGGAGAAGAACGAGGGCTCTGGCATAATCCATTTTTGGCGCATGTGCAGTTTTCCGGAAGTGAAATATAATGAATGAAAATCATGCTTTCAAACAGAGTTCTGTGTTTACTTTCGATCAAAATAGGAATTAGAAATGGGGACCTTTTTTTTTTTTTTTTTTTTTTTTATACGCGCAATGCTTTTAACGTATGCACTCTTATACCGGAAGTCCAAGAAATCCTGATCTCAAAAAATGGATTATACCAGGGCCCTTGTTCTTCGCCGCAGGCCAGACGAAACGCAGGCTCTGGGTACGAGATTGGAACTAATTCAAATTTTCCCGCTAAGTTTGTAGAACATGCGCAAGAGGTTTTCATTAGAAGTGGAAAAATAAAGTCGAAAAAAAGAGCAACATACAATTAAAAGTGTAATTAAGCAGTTTCATGATCAATCTCGACCCCAGACTCTTGTCAATCTTACTGCGCATGCTCGACGAAGTGACATCTATACGAGCATGCGCAGTAAGAATGACAAACTCGGGTCGAGAGCCGTTTCGTGATTTGGAAAGTTTCTTTGATTAAATATTTACTCTCCAGATTTATCACCAATTTCATCAGCACTGCCAGCCGTCATTTTGAATTTAAGCAGTGAACAAACGGAACAAAACACAAAGACATTTATTTACAAAGAGAATCATGTTTTTTTTACCTTAAATTTGATTTATCGAGAAAAATAAATGGATGCAATTGGCTTAAGGAAGGTATCTAGACAACGAGTTCTGCACGTGGCTATGCCAAACACCTTGAACCGGTTTTACCATCTTTTATTTACAAAACCTGGAAAACCTGGCCATTTCATCAAACTTGGAATAAATACATATATATATATTATATACACAAGTGTGCTGTTTGCCAAAAACAGCCTTTCCTATGATGTAGCGTGTATTTTAGTAAATAGCAAATTTTCAACAATCTAAATTCTCTTTAAATTCCTTTGTTTTGTTAGTGGCTGCTGTGTTTAAACTTTAAAGATTCTTATTTTTTCAGTTGTGACATTGCTTGCTTTTTTAGGACTATTGGTATAAATAGAATGCTTCGCAAACCTATATCTATTCTTTTAACACACAACAGACTTGTGTGACTCAGTTAAGATGTTAGTAAAGCTGTCTTCTTCGCGTGGTTCAGCTGTGAAGTTCTTTGATACATTTCGAGTGTCTTCACGCATAAATATTCAGCTAGTTTACAATAGGTTTTTTTCATGATAATTAATTCCCTTGCCGTATGTTACTCATGCATTTTTAAAGGAAAAAAATATTCTGCATAAATGTTTTTTTGTATTTTCAGTGTGGCCAAGCTTTCTGCAAGTCAATAAGACCATTTTTTAAAATAAAATCGTTATATTCGATTAATATTTGTTGCCGAAATTATAGTTTTTCCAGTTTTATGATCCGCGGTGTAGATTTTACAGATCCATTTGTGCGTCTACTCATTATTAAATACAACCATGGGTTTATRCTTGCATTAACTAGAACAAGTAAAGTAGAAAAAGCCCATGCCATATTAAGTCTGTTAAAATTGATTTTGAAGACGAAGATGACGATAAGCATAACGTTGAATGGCGTCCAAAGTATGAAGAACAGTGTGACAATGATGACCAGTAGTTTTATTGCTTTCTTACGGCGTCTGTATGTACCGAGTGTACCAATTCGATTTGTCGTACAGCTAAGCCGAATACAAATCTTACTGTACGCCACGATGATGGCCATCAAAGGCATTAAATACATAAAGAACGTTACTAAAGCGTAATACAACGAAGTGATAAATGGACTGCTTGTTTGTGAGCAGTGCTGTCGTCGAGACTCTCCTTTCTCTTTATTTACATTGTACAAGAAAAACAATGGTGAATAGGGAAATAGAGCTAAAAACCAGGTCATCAAAAGCGTTTTACGAACTTTGCTTTTCGTTTGGCTTGTGAATGCCCTCAGCGGCGACATCACTGCCACATAGCGATTGTAAGTTAGCAGCAAAAGATTAAAGACTGATGCTCCATGGCTTGTATTGATGGCATAATAAAACAGCTTACACGTGAAGTTGTTAAAGATACTAACCGGAAGAACAATGTTTAAGACATAGAACAACGTCGACAAAGTAAAAATCAAGTCTGCCAATGCTAAACTGAAAAAGTAGTAAGATTTGATTCCAAGGAAGTGGAGTCTTTTACAGCACAAGATAGACACCCAAGTATTTCCAATGAATGAAATCAAGAAAAATATAGCCCATATCGAAATAGAAGAGATCAGCAACCTTCGATTCCAACCATTGATCTGCCCATCGATGTCTTGGGAATTGACGTTGGACGAATTATTTGTCATAATCCTTAAAATTTATCCAGTGAGATTTAATAATAAAACTGTTTCTGTGAAGGAAAAGTCTACTTTGCGTTTGTATTTCAAACTAGTTTCCTTCCTCTCAGATCTTTTAAGTTGTTTTTGACTTTTGAGCGGGTTCTCAATCAGGTTTAGAAGACAGAATCCACTGAATAATATATATCTATAATAGCTAGCTGAACAGTAAAATAACCTAACCTTTTAGAATTATCGCTGTAGTCTTGACGTTTTAAAAGCTTCCTACTCTAGATCTCTGATACATCTAGCAGGAAACCGGCTTTTGACACACAATACAATCCCATGTTCATGCAAATAACGAAATCAGCAGTATCCACGTCAGAAGAAACTAAAAACGCCCGATGCTCATAGTCAAATCGGCATTGTTTTCGTTTGCAAGGTGCCTTTTCAAGTGTTCGTTGTAAAACGGTATCTCGTATCCTAGACGTTTTTGGCCAACTTCTTTTTTTGAAGGTTAAGTCTTGTCTGTGCAAGTTGCGAAATTAGGTAGGAAGGTAAGGCTTTGCCCTTTAGTTCCCACTTGACGCAACAAACTGATGTAACACCGTCGCTCTTCCGCAAACAATGTCATATACCTAAATAAACTTGGCTATTTTTCTTCTTTGATAATAGCCAAAAACAAATTTCAACCTTCCGGGGGAAAGAAAATAATTAATTGKTTGGAGATTGGCATTTTTAAATTCAACTTCTCAAATTCATTGGTGTCATGGGATATGACAAATATACACAGTGATATAGATCCATGGATCGCTATTTAACGTGGTGATTCTTTTCAGCCTGTTTTGAAATTTTCCTTATTTTTCGGTTTTCCATTCGAGGTTTTCAGTTTTCTTCACAAAAATAAAAGTCTAAATGATTCAACGTTTCGCCATTTACTGTACGAGCTTGTGTAAAATTGACGTACGACAATTGCTTGCGAGATTGGGCAATTAGACTGTGCGATGGCGAAGAATTAATGAAAATAGAATAATAAAAATTTAGACCGAGAACATCTACTTAATTTATAAATGAACTTAACTTGATCAAAACCTTGTAATGCTCCGTCAATTTTCATCATTTTAGCTGAGGAACCATGGTTTATTTACATTTTAAATTCATTTGTCGATCACTTCCGTGTTTTTGTGTTTTGTTTACATGCTGTGCTCCACCGCCAATCCTAGCTTTTCGGTATCATCACACGAAGAAATGAAACTTTATAGAATTTGCTTTGACAGTTTAGTGTGTTTTATGAATTGTGTTTGAGAATGGCGCAAATTTTTAAGTCAGGTGCATGATTAACTGTTTGCTTTTTATGGGCAGTGCCATTCATTGAAACCCCGTGGTTTAACGAACATGACCTCAAAATTGGCGCCCTTTTTTAAGAGATTTACATTGCAATGACAAGGTGCCTGTATGAAGTGAATGTCCGTATATTAACACCAAATATCCGCAAAGCAGGTTTTGTGTGGTAAAAATCGTTTGCAAGGTAAACGAGTGCTAGAACCTGGCTTAACTCCTCTTGCTGTAAAGACACTCTTTCACTGCCAGGTCAATAAGACCAAAATCAAACCTGATTACATTCTCTGTTGTACGTAATTAGATAAAAATGTTCCCTACATTGGCGCTGACAGGCTTCCGATAGATCTGTCGGTTCATACTATACTGTGTGTATACATGTATTTGCGGCTGATAGGATTTTCATTTCGTCTTAAGATTACAATAAATAGACTGACGGAAGCTTCGTAAAGTTCACATGGAAGCGTTAGATTAAAAAAAATATGGAGTTTCCGATATTTCATCCAAACAAAACAAATAGAGCTTTCAGGCTGTGAGTTTCTAGTAGATTTTCTATCAAGACAAACTTCTGATTAAATCACAGTGAAAAGTGGGATGTTCTTATTTTAAGTGCCGAATTCGTATCGTAGTCCGAATAACGAGCTACAGTTTTCCGAGTTCGGAAAGTGGTAGATAGATAGATAGATAGCTTTATTAGTTATATCATTGCAGCCTCCGTGCTGGCTGAATTGCGATATACTTTACAATTAAAAACAAATATTTAACATATAGAAACATCAATAAAGGTAAAGGAGATAGGGAAAGAAAAAGAAACTGATTAAGACTATGTTTCATTATCAAAGTATTCTTAAACCTGTTAGTCATACAGACTGGTAATTTCAAATATTTTTGGCAGCGCGTGCGGTAGTGGTATTCGTTGCGTGGCGGTAGTAGATCATAAAGCTTATGACTTTTGTCATTTACGATTTGATGGGATTTAAATCGCTACATAAAACCTGTCTTCTCTCAAACAAAGTTGTTATGCCTACAAAAAGAAGTGCCTGACAAGTGACAGGAAACATTGTGCTCTAGCTTGGGTACAACCAGCACCATGAACCAAAGATGCTTGTTGTACCCAAGCCAAACCATGATGTACCGTTTTTGTGTTTTAGAAGAAGAGGGCTATTGCCCGAGACGCGGCCATATTGAAATAGTATAGGCTAGCGCTATTGATTCATTTAACAAACTAGTTGGAAAGAATTAGATAAGATGACAGAAAGAAACAGCTTTACAATAATTTACTTCTTAATCTCATTTCTTATTTAAAGACCTTTCAGAGTTTCTATACCATATTCTATGCACAAGAAAATGCGCCACTTTAGCTGGCTGATCAGAACACCCGGTCATGATTTTCTCCAGTTTACCCGAAGTTGTTTGCTTTTTGCTAACCTCACGGTTTGGTCATATGGCGGTCTATCTGTCCATCTGTCCGTCTGTCCGTCTGTCCGTCTGTCCGTCTGTCCGTCTGTCCGTCTGTCCGTCTGTCCGTCTGTCCGTCTGTCCGTCTGTCCNGTCTGTCCGTCTGTCCGTCTGTCCGTCTAATCTGAGCCATTTCGTCCATCCCTTCCGTCCACGCAACTGTCCTTCGGATCTTTTCCAGCTCCTTTCTTCCGTCTATCTCTCATTCAAGAATTTTTCCTCTTCTCTCAATCTTCGTATATTCCTATTCTTCATCTCTTTTTCTATTCTCATTCATTCCCAGTTTTCACAGAATCACAGCCAGCGGTCGATTCAACCAAAACACACCACATCGAGGTGAAGGATGTCACGCATGCGCCGTGACTTATCTCCAAAAACTTTGATCTCAAAAAAATGGCTAAAAGAACCACAAAAAATCCACGAATTCCTGGCCTTTAATCTTTATGATTAGCCTCTTGATTCGCTAAGACAGAAAGCCTAGTATCTTAGCTGCCCATGTACCGGCAAAACTAAGCAATATCATGAGCGATGCGGCGAAAAATCGAGTCATTGCTTTGGGCACTAAGTTCAACTGTGTTGAGCGATCTCAAGATCCTCTCTCAGTACAGTTCGAAGGAAGCTCGAAAAAATCTTTCTGGAAACGAAATACTAGCAAATTACCTGGAAGGTAGGAATCTTTATTGTTTTTTTGTTTTTTTGTTTTTTTGTAGCATTGGGGTATATTAATTGTATTTTTGATGGTTTTTGTTGTCGTTTTGGTGTAGTATTAAGCCAGTTATAAGCGAGAGCCATCATGTACAAGATTCAAGTGCCGTCCCTAACACTTCAGGACCAAGTGGCCTTGTTACAAGTAAATCCAGCACCAGGTTCGTTGATCGTAACTTTGTTAGACGCCATTCAATCAAATAAATACATATACRATACAATATATCGAATCGGTGTACAAGATTCTTCATAGAATGTTTACAATTTTCTTAATTTCCTTCCTTGTTTATATGATTCATCAATATCTTGATCAATTATCGCTTCAGACTTCTAAATCAATGGATTTTTTACGAACTGTTAATAGATTATTAACCCTGTAATTTAAATAATAAGGATATTTTTTACAATTATTTTGGAGCTAGCATTGTGCAAAATTTCCATTACTACAACAAGAGTAAAAGTCTCTCACGTTAATTGTTCCTTGATAAAAATTTTGGTATTGCTCTTTTGTTTTCTTCATTCATGTATCTTGTCAAAAAAGGCTGAAGAGCTCCATTCCCCTCCCCTCCCCTCCCCTAGATACTGCAGTGTTTTGGGCAGGGGGGGGCAAGAGAAATTACAGTGGGGGGAAGAGTAGAGTAGCATAGGTCTACTTACATTTTTACAGCCATCACACTCCATGTAAAGGGCTCTTCTGTGAGGTGTGCTCTGAATGCACTACGCACCTCAAATTACAGCCTTCTTCTAGTTACCCCATCTACATCTACATCTACACAGACATTGTATAAATGTGCTTTATAAGATTCTCCCATTTTTATTATTATTACAAGGAGTTAGTGTGGATATTTTCTTAAACTTCATACAAAAAAATATTTTCTTAGCAACCAAGGAACTGGAGTTAAGGGGAAACCCAAATCCATGTCCTTYCAAGAATTTGACAGTAAAATGGATGATGCTTGGGCAGACTGTGAAGACGATATCTTAAAAACTGGTGCTCATCACGAACAAAAAGAAGCACAAGGACAAACRCGTACGAGGACAATCAGTGGTGGTGAAATTAGGGCAGGATTTACTGCTAATCCAGAAGACTTGAAAACCACTTCACCAGAACATGAATTAAAGAAGGAAGGAAGTAAAATATCAAGACCTTCGCCACTAAGTATACTAAGTGAGTCTAACTTCTATTAGTGTAAAACTTATATTTTTATATATTTTACAACCTTCAATCCCTGAACGGTGCTCTTCTTTGAGGTTCCCTCCAAACACACTACCACTACATTTTATATTTACATCATACAACACTCAACTCACATTTTGATTTCTACGGAAGGAGGAAACTGGAAAACCCAGAGAATCCAGAGAAAATCCTTGTGGCAATCCCAAGATACCTTTGCAGGTATCTTCTATAGGGTTCCCATTTACAGTCCAATCAACTACCATGTGCTAGTTGCCAATCAATGTCACTCTGTTGCCAAGTGATTAAGAGAGGGTGGAGGTTGCTTATAACGTGACTGAAAGTAATGTCTACGCATGCTCTATTTTGTTTTTTCAAAACTAAACTAGGTAGAGGCAGTTTATTTTTCATACTAAAGATGAGAATATTTTTTATCCTCCCTTTAATTTATATTACAGTGAGATCCTAAAGGGTAAGATTACAGATATGCACTGGAGGGCTGGGATTGGATAGATTAGTTCTGAGATTAGCAGCCCTCTGTTAGGGGCAGTTGAGATCAAGGGGTAGTGAAGAAGCAAGAATGGGACTAATCACTATGGATGTCTCCTTATTAGTACTGATATTAGTGTCCATGTTTTCCTTCATAGCTCGGCATAAAAACCAGTCAAGTTCCAAAACAGGCAAACAGACATCACCACCAACAACGCCSTCACCTCCTCCTCCAGTTCAAGCCCCTCGGCCCCCTTCGCCTATACAAGCTGTGAAACTAGAAGTCATGGATCAGGAGATTTATAAACTAGAAAAGTTTGGCAAGCTTTTAGCAGGACCAAATACTGATTTAGGTTAGTATACTGGAAGTTTAACTTTTGATTCTGACCTAGAGATCTCACTTATTCTTATGTCCTACATATCCATCCAATCAAATGCCATTCCATCTATCCATCCATCCATATCCCTTCATCCAATGCACTGCCTATCCATATATCTGCCTATCCATCCATCCCTTCCTATTACGTTCCATTTATTCATCCTTTTTTCCCATAGCCTACAACATTTTATTTATCAATCCATCCACAACCTTCCCTCCTCTGTGCCTTATATCTGTCCATCCATCCATTTTATGCCATTCTATATATCCATGCTTCCAATCTCATTCATTCATCCATCCATCCTTTTATTCTGTCTTTTAATGTTTTTTTTTTAACTGGCATGCCATCATAAGTTAATTATCGATTCAATTTATCTTATCACACATGCAGAAGCTGTAAGAAAACTTAGTTGGTCAGGGATCCCTACAGCAGTACGACCAACGACATGGCAACTTTTATCAGTAAGTCTCCAGATATTATTGACGATATACAAGATACTGTACATGATTATGTTATTATTTTTCAACATAAGAAGTGAAAACCTAATATTGTATCTCTTCACTCACCATTCACTCCTCAAATTTGATACTATTCCAGGAATTCTTGCATCAGAGAACTTTTTTTACAGTGCTTCCTAGAAACACCTGCAAAATTGTACATTTTACTRTCCTGACAAAATAGAACTTTGGTGGACATCAATCAAAGTGTTTTCATGACATTGTTGGAAAATTCAAAATTTTCTAGAGCAGGTTCTTATGAAGTTTCATGGAAAAGCCTTGATTGGCGTCTATCAAAACCTTCTTCATCATGACAAAGATTYCATGCATGCTGTTGAAAAGGAATCTAATATACAGGGCTTAAAATAACGGCTGTTCAGTCACTGGTCATGATCACAGGCCAAATTAGTTTTAGCTTAGTCATACCTTATTTGTGGCTACAGTAAATGTTACTGGTCAAAATGGCTGGCAAGGCAAAGATTTGACTGGACAACTTCCAGTTCTGGCCTGACATTGTCCGATGACCTGCCGTTTTTCTAAGCTCTGGGTTTTAGCTTGGTAATGCCTTATTTCTGGCTAAACGTTACTGGTCAAAATGACCAGCAAGGCAAAGATTTGACTGGACAATTCCCAGTTCTGGCCTGTTAAGCCCTGATATGTTAGTTAGAACCTTGTATTGAGTAAAATATCATGGGTGAAAGTAGAGCAATGTGTGAGTGAGCTGTTTCTATATTTCTAGGGTTATTTACCAGCAAATATTGACAGACGACAAGCRACATTAGATCGTAAAAGAGAAGAATACCATAATTTTGTGAAACGGTATTACCCTACGAGATATGAAGACACTTACCAAGATACTTTTAGACAGGTAAGAAAAATACATATATCTGTAGCTACTTTCTCTTGTGATGGTGCTATTTTCAATTTGGTCCACATACCATTGAAATGAGAGTGATGAAGAAGGAAGAAAGGGGGAAGGAAGCAAGGAGGGATGGAAGGAGAAGGAGAAAGGGGATGGATGGATAGATGGAGGAAGGCTAGGGTCAGAGTGTATCTTTACCATCAACTCAAGCAGGCATGTTCCCATGATATCTTTGGAAAGGTGGGATTAATATTTGCTGTCTTGTTTTACCAAGGCTTATATTAACTTACTTTACCGCCACCTGGCTAGCTCAATTGGTAAGAGCGTCGGTYCGTTGTGCGGGAGGTCGTTGTTCAAGCCTCGGCCGGACCAACACTCAGGGTCTTAAAATAACTGAAGAGAAGGTGCTACCTTTGTMATTACATCTGCAAATGGTTAGACCTTCACGTGGCTCGGATGATCACGTTAATGGCGGTCCTGTCCCTAATTAACTAGAGACGTTAAAAGAGGACCACAAGTTTATCAGTTGAATTACTGTCAAGTGTAATCCTTTATAAACAAAGTTAATTATTATTGCTGTTGTCGATTTTCTTGTAGATTCATATTGATATTCCAAGAATGAATCCTCTTATACCACTTTTCCAACAACCATTAGTGCAAGAGGTAAGATTGAGGACTTATCTACTATAAGATCTTTATAATTAATGTGTAATTTATCAAGGCTAAGAATAATGGTAGCTCAATTGCAGCTAAAGCTCTAAGCCAGACATGATAACAGAGCACATCAGACTTTGGACTAATTAACATGTGATCCATCTGACATCCATGTGAGGACCTTGGGGTGTTCAGCTGAACAAGTGCCAATTTTTACCAGTCATTTTCCATTGACTACTGTAGCTATTATATTTAGCCCTGTACACCTCCTTGTCTTAAGTCTAGTGTATCTAGCTTTGTCATACTGTAGATTTATTCATAGAGAACATTGATATTGTATCATAAATGTAATCTTTTTCCCCTGACAATGTTGTAGATATTTGAGAGGATTCTGTATATCTGGGCCATCCGTCATCCTGCTAGTGGTTACGTGCAGGGAATGAATGATCTTGTCACTCCATTCTTTGTGGTATTTCTTTCTGCATATGTAGGTYAGTATTCTCTCTCTATAGTTGTCTWTATTTTCTCCTCATAACAAACTACAGCTGTTAAAACATACATGTACTCTATAGCACTGTGATGCCATTGCTATTATTAAAAGAAAAAAATCCTCACAAAACCTTCAAAGTTTATCAGTACCCTGAAACAACCTCTTGGCTGATCTAAATTAGGGCATGGCTAACTCACAGATCGAACCCTGAAACAACCTCTGGGCTGATCAAAGTCAGGGCATGGCTAACTCACAGATGGAACCCTGAAACGACCTCTGGGCTGATGTAATTCAGGGCATGGCTAACTCTTAGATCAAACCCTGAAACAACCTCTGGGCTGATCTAAATCAGGGCATGGCCAACTCATAGATCAAATCCTGAAACAACCTCACAGATCGAACCCTGAAACAACCTCTGGGCTGATCAAAGTCAGGACAGGGCTAACTCACCCACTGAGATGGGATTTCTGGGGCAGACCAGAGCTAAGTGTTACCTTCTTTATTTCATGTCTTTCAGATGGAGATCTTGAAAATTTTGATATTCCAACTCTAAGGCCTGTTGTTTTGGACACGATAGAAGCTGATAGTTTTTGGTGTTTAAGTAAACTACTGGATGGGATCCAGGTAAATAAAGACATTTAACAGTGCTGGTCTCATAAAGGCTCTTAGGGGRTGGGGTGGGTAGGTGCAGTCTACAGGAGCTCTAGACCCACCTTCTAAGCTCTACATATATTGTTGAGTCAGTCCTAGCCTACTTCATCAACCCTCCTAAAACCAAAATGACAGATTCTTTAGAGCTCTCTGAGAGTCAAATCACAAGCATGATGTCATGCCGATAAGAGAAGAGAGTAACCTAGGGTGTTTGTCTGTGATCTCCATTTTTCCTTCCTCCACAAAAAACCTAGCAGCAAACCTATTCATTCTGGTGATGCACTTTTGGAGGTTTTTTTATGGTTCTCTGGTCTCCCTCCCTCTACAAATTTTGTGTGTCTTATTGCCYTTTTATATAAATGAAGGTTGTTTTTCATTTTGTAGGATAATTACACATTTGCACAGCCAGGAATACAAATGAAAGTGAATGCTCTAAGAGAGCTTGTCAAGAGAATAGATGGTAAGATGAATGAGGACACCAAGCTGAGGGGGCCAGGGGCTAAAGCCCCAGGAATAATTCCCCCCCCCCCCCCCCCCCCCACAATCAAAATTATGCTCTGTGGTCCCTGAATGTACGTTTTCATTCACTCAGGCAGTGATAAAGACCATTCTGATTAGATGTGTTTTCTTTCTAGTATTAAACTTGGTTTTGTTTTCTATTTTATTTACCAGAACCACTCCACAAACACTTGATAGAAAACAATGTTGAATATTTACAGTTTGCTTTCCGCTGGATGAATAATATTTTAATGAGAGAGATGCCACTTCGGTGTACTATCCGACTTTGGGACACATATCTGGTATGTGCATCTATTTCTCTCTCTCTCTCATTCTTTCTCTCATTCATTCCTTCCCTTTCTTTCTTTCTTCCTTCCTTCCTTCCTTTCTTTCTAGTTTTTTCTTTCTTCCTTGTTTTTTTTTCTTTTTGTCAAAATGGATTGCTTTTTAAATTATTACTGAGTATTTAACATACATATGTTGTTGTGGTGGTTGATCTTTTAGTCMGAAGAAGATGGTTTTGCCACATTTCACTTGTATGTGTGTGCTGCATTCCTTACCAACTTTTCTAAAGAAATTATGACCAAGAAAGACTTCCAGGTAACTAGTCTCTGTCAAACCAGGTATCATAGAAAAATAGGAGGCAAGAGATGGGGGAAAAATCATTTGTAAAAGGTTTTTCACAGCAATTTTTTTATTGTTTCGTGAACTCAGCAGGTTGGTGTTGCCCATTGGAGTTTGGTTTTCACTGCCGCCTGCCAAAAATATAAAATGTACTGACTGATTAATTGTAATTGGCAGAAGCAAGTTTGCATGATATTGAAAATTGGTATAAATTACATTTTTTGTTTTTTGTTTTAGTTTTTAATGGTTCTACTTCAAAACCTGCCCACGACCAATTGGTCAGACCAAGATGTTGGACTCATATTAGCTGAAGCTTTCAGACTGAAGTACATGTTTGCTGATGCACCAAAACACTTGCAGAGCAAGTAAATAAAACCACARGCATCCCACCTACAGAGCTTTTCAACTCTTGAAGTGACCACAGGCAACCCATCCAGAAGTGGGTTACCTTTAAAATTACCACAGGCAACCCATCCACAAAACTTGTCACTTCTAAAATAACCACAGGCAACCCACCAAATAAACTGGTCACTTTTAAAATTACCACAGGCAATCCACCAACGAAACTGGTCAACTTTAAAATAACCACAGGCAACCCATCCATAAAATGAAATGACAAATATGTGGTGACGAAGGTAGTTATTGAACAACTGGCGAATGACAGGTTATCTGTGAAAATCAAATTTAGAGATATTGCCGATGCCAGAGAAAATTGATCTGAGGATCTAATGACAAAATCTGGAGCAGTTTTCAAGGTTYGCAAAGCATTTCAAATCCATCTTTTTACGATCATGGCTTTCAGAGCCATGAATATAAAATTACTAGTAAAAATAGTACAAGAAAAAACTTTCTACAATGTATAGTCTCAAATTGAAATAGAAGGGAAAATCAAAATTATTAAGAAATAATTGATACATTTTGGTGGTGACGTCACAATCAAAGAATAAATAAAAATGTCAGTATATATATATATATGTATGTATATGTATGTATATGTAATGCTTTTAAAAATAATGAATAAAAACTATGTTATTTAGAAATGTATAAACAATTCTTCTGACGTCCTTGATTTTTTTATTTTATCTGATTTTCATGTGTTATTGCTTATTTATATTTTGATTTTTAATTTTAATTTTTTTTTTTTGATATATAATAATATATTGATTTTTAGTTTTTATTTTCAAAATAATATTTATATAAATACTAAGTTTTCCCTACCTTAGTAAACAACACCAGTGGGCAACATTTAATAATACTCTTTAATAATATAAATACAGTAATATTACTAATCATAATTAATAAAAATTGTTAATTCATAATAAGATTTGATATAATTAAATAATGAATTAGTTATTAAAATACATAAATAAATGTACAATTTCAAGGGCTAAGAGAATAAGTTACGCCCAATAGACAATTCTCCATTTTCCAGTTGCTTATGGAGATCAGCCAGGACCTCCGTGCTTGGTACATGCATCCCTGGAGATGCTGGAATGTAACATCCCTCACCACATTGCCTAGAAGCACCTGTCTCACTACTAGAAGAACTACATAAAGTACTACCCGTCTTGGACTCTAAGAATGAGTTCTTTTCTTTTGTTTTCGATTCTGTTTCACTAGCTACAATGTGGAGGTCTTCACATTCAGAGTCTGAAACAATTCTCTTGTCTTTTTCAAGATTTGTTTCAACAAAATATGAATTTATTTTAATGTTTTCTCTATTTTTGAGAAACGAATTTTCTAATTCTGTATCAATTGTCCCTTGTCTGCTTGCTTCATATTCACTTGTTCCCCAAGATAATTTTATTGTGTTCTGTTGGTGCCCTTGACCCAATAAATTTTTGCTGTCTTGAAGTGAAGCYGAGGATTTATCACCTTCGATTTCACTTGCTATGCCAGGTATTACCCCACTCTTCCCCCCCTCATGAATATCCTTAGTATTTTGTTTCATATCTACCTGTTCAACACAATCCCTAAACTGAATACTGTGATTTTTACTGTCTGTTTTTGCCAGTTCTTCCTTTCTACCTGATGAATCTGTATTTTTGGTCAGACTGTKGTCGTCTTTGTCTGTTTTCATTGGTACATCAGTATTAGTACTACTGCTGTTTGGGACTTTCCGTCGTCTTTTTATAGGTATGGGTACAAGACTCRAGTCATCTTCCAGACCAAGTTCTTTATAAGCTGTAGTCACTTAAAATATAATAAACACTTTATGTCACGGATGAAAGTCTTTGTTTACCAGTGGAAGGTCATATTTGTCTGAATGAATAATGAAATGAATGATGGATGAATGGATAAATCAAGGAAAAAAATGGCTGAATGGGATGTGAATKGGATGTGAATGGATGGATGTAAGGATTGAAAGAATGGATGGTTAATAAATAAATCAATGGATGGACTGGATAGATACAGTGCAAAGGTCAATGCAAATAGATGGACGGACGAACAATAAGACATACCTGATAAACCTGGCGCTCTCTGCTTTGAAGAAAACATGTTTCCATGATCTGGTTTCTTCTGTCCAGAAATCTTGAACTCACTAGCCTGGACTTTGAAGTCYGTAAGTCCAGAGTCTTCTTGGTTGCTGGACTCATGCTCATCAATGCGTGTGTACTCTTTAAGCCTAAATTGAAATACAACAAATCAGCTTTGGACTTGGGATTTTGGTGTTTTGCTTTCAGTATGCACACAATCCAAAGCCCTTACCAATTCGTTGCATCCTCCAGGGTATGACGACCCGCTGGTTTGACATTTGGGTAGACATGGTATGGTCTTAAGTATGACACAAGGTCAATAATCTAAACAAAATTAAGGGAATAATATATAAGATTAAAAGTTATTGAACAATGCACTATAGGAATTATGATGGCATACCTCTTCCATGGATGCATGCATTGAGTGGACCACTCGCCACATTTTCTCGCTTTTGACATACCTAGAAATTATACAGAATGGAAGAAAAATATAGTGAATGGGAATGGGAGAAAAAATGGGATTGACTGTGTGTTTCCTTGTCTTCCATATATGCCAAGATAGCATAGTGAATAGAAGGGAAAAAGTAAAAGGGAATAAAAATGGGAGGGATTTAATAAATAGGAATTATTTTGAATGTAAGAATAGGTGAATGGGATCCAAAATGGGAGTTGTAATTCCACCACATAAAAAAATATTTAAACATTTATCTTCTCTATGTCTTCTCTTTTACTCTGACGAAGGACTAGCGTTTGAAACGTCAGTTCATGGTGTAAAATTTACCCTTTTATCATTATTGTTTCATTATAAACACAGATGCAGCTCACACTAGTTTTTAGCTAGTTATCTCTTCTCATATTTAGACTAGTGATTCCTAGGAATTCATAGTGAATGGGAGAGAAAATAGTGCATGGGATTAAAAATGGGAGGGTAATTCCAAAAAAAAAATACATTTATTTATTTAATTCCAGTGGTCCACGTAATTTAAATTTCAGCCAAACTAAGATCAAACTGGCCAGAGATCATTCTACTAACCTTGTGCTGTCAGCAGGAAGAGGTTCAGTGAGTCTAGCAAACCACATTGAGGTTGGYTTGATCTTGATAACTTTAGGTACATCCCCATTGGGTAGGGCGAACCCACATGGAAGTGAAGAACGAGTCCCTTTYGGAGTCTGTTTATGATAAAAAAAGATCACATCTTTGAACAAAAAAGTTTAAAAATCACATCTGAGTAAAACCTATTGGATGTTAAAAAATTGACTGTAATAGGTTTTGATATCAGATGATTTGATGATGATGGTTATAATGATGATGATGATGACACTGGTGGTGGTAAGTTTGATTATGGTGATGATGGATGATGATGTAGGTGATGATGATGGCGGTAGTGATGGTGATGATGGTGATGGTGATCTACAAGCTACTTACCTTGTCCCATTTACATGAATGGTGGCGGTAGTGATGATGGCGGTAGTGATGGTGATGATGGTGATGGTGATCTACAAGCTACTTACCTTGTCCCATTTACATGAATGGATCTTGGTAGCTTTGGGGTCAGTGGTGAAATACTGTTTCATGTCTGTTAGGTAATGGTACAGGGCAAGTCTTTCCTTACTGATGTGTATCTAAAACAAAAAATGTTTTGCCTTCATCAGTATGAGATTTAAAATTGGCCCTGCTCGCAACACTGTTTAACACTGATCCTAGATATCTAGTAGATTTCCCATTTAATTTTCAATGTAAAGTTTCAATCTACATATTAGATTGTCAAGCAAGAGTGAAACACATGTAAACTTGTGGGAAATGTGCAACTGTGCTCATGCTGTTGGTGTTTCGCATCTATAACGATTTTCCCTTGTTGCGCAAAAAAATGTTCTCAACATGTAACATTATGGCAATGTGTACATTTTTGAAGGACCTTCAAAACTCAAAACATTGTTGCCATCAATTTGTGTTGCTACATGCCACATGTTACACAAGCCAACTTTTAATGCAACAATATTGCACTGAAAATCGTCTCAAGTAACATCACCTTTCCATATTTTTCAAGTGAGCAGTGCACCATTTCAAATGACTTACCTTTGTTTTATAGTGCTGTGCTATTTCTTTCAGTAGATATTCGTACCCATACATGCCTTTACATTGTAGACTGACCATGTGATGTGGTCCTCGGCATAGCCATCTGTTGCAGAAAACAACATGCAGAGTATTAAGCTATAGAAGTTTTGCAGCACACTAGGTATACACACTACATAGGTATACACTGCACTTTAATTGCCCTATTTCATAATGACGTCATATCAAACCAAACTATTGTTTTAACGCTAGGGATCATGGCCACTGGAGGGGGATGGCATGATAACAATTAACCCATCTTAAATCACAATGAAATTTGGTTTATGAGCTGGTGAAGGCAAGAACAACTAAATATTAAGCTAAATATATCGAAAGAAGAGAATAAAGCTTAAATTTAGCCTACATTTCTATCATTTTAGCCAATGTAAACAAACGTGATGTCATTATGAAAAAGTGAAATCGAACTGTGCAACAAGGAACAAGGCTATAGACAGGCATGTCCCTTTGTATAAAACCAAAAACAGTACTATGAATTATACACAATGAGTTACATGCCAAGCTCCAAAATCATGCAATATAATTTATAATAAATACAAACAGGTCACAGCACATCCTAACTTGTTTTTTGTGCATGCATTTTAATGGAGATATAGCTATTATTATTATTATTATTATTATTATTATTATTATTATTATTATCTAAACACTTATCCAAAGACTCACAAAGTATGTGTGAAGGTCTAGAAAAAAGGTTAAGTACATAGCTATACTGACTTGTCTATAACTCTGATGACAGCATCTCTTGTCTCCTCCTGAAAACCAGTAAAAAGAGGCATGAACTTACCCTATATTCATAAAAATATTTTTCAATTTTAACAGTCTCTTAGAAATATTGGCACAGAATTCATAAATTCCTACGTCCATATATACATGCACATTATGTAAGGAAAATGTTGTTAAATAGAGTATACTTTCTATTTCTGTAGCCTCCTTCAAAGGACTATCTATTTCTTCAGAATTTGTATATAACTGTTAGTGGGCTATAATAAAGGTGTTTGGAATGCCTGCCAAAAAGGCAACTATTTCTAGAGCATGAAGCAAACAGGAGTAGGCCATCACTCCCCCACCCCTACCCCTACTCCTATTACAGGGTATTCCTGGTATCTTAACAGGTAATGTTGGCAGGTAGTGTTGACATAGTAGTGTACTTTGTTGTCCACTTACTCTAGATGGTATGGTCATCATTTGTGGTAGGCAGAATGTTGTGTCAATATAGATGCTTCTGATGTCTTTAACACTAAAATCAACAAAAATATACATGGTAAAGATAATCTAGTTAAGAAAAAGTGAATGAATGAATGATAACTGG